CTGGGAATGATGGAGGCCTCCGACACAGCCTCCGACATGCTGGGAAGCCTGCCAAGCAGTTCAACTATCTCACTGGATGAATTCACCTGTGTGAGAATACTTCCAAGTTGCTTATCAATAGCTAAAGTCACTTCAATTAGGTACCGATATCAAACTGGAGATAGTGGAGGCCTCCGACACAGCCTCTGGCATGCTGGGAAGCCTCCCAAGCAGTTCAACTATCTCACTGGATGAATTCGCCTGGGTGCAAATACTTCCAAGTCCCTTGCCAATAGCTGAAGTCACTGAAAATAAATTCATGGAGCATCTAACTCGCCACGTTGGAGGCCTCCGATGCATTGGGAAGGCTCCTGAGCAGCAAAAAACCCCAGAGCAGATTCCCATGTGTAGAACCCCATCCAATGTTCATTGTAAATAGCTGCAGTCACTGGAATCAGCTGTATAATACACAAATTCAAACTGGGAAGCTGAAGGCCTCCGATGCATCCAGAATTTCAACATTACCTATGAACCAAGCAAGGAACAGGCATTGAAAGCAATATCAAGAAAACACACAGTATATAGTGCCCAAGAAGGAGGCTGATTGGAGGCTGGAAGAGGCCGTGATGTAGGTGGAGGAGGCCCACGATGGAGGTTGCTGCCCTGATGCACCACCGGCAGCCAGGGTGGTGGGAAACCGAAGGAAGATCCCGAGAGCTCACGCGAGGGGCATTTATCAGCAGATGACATAACTATTATTAATAGACCTACCCCCTCCGACGCCTACAGGGCCTCTTAAGGGGGTTATGCTCCTACAACGTAACCCCCCCCCTAAGAGGCCCTCACGTGACCGCGCCGGTGCTCCCTGGGGTGCGGCGGGTCGTCTCCCACGGCACTACCGAGATGCCGGCAGGGGATCTCGAGAGCTTGCGCTCACTCTCCAGTGGTGGCAGAAACATCGATAATGGCTAAGTGCTAATTCGATCGTGTCCCTGAGGATGGTCGAGGATCTATCTTTATAGAATCAATATGGAGATGGCTGCCGCCGATGTTTCATAGACTGACTACCGATGGGCATGGGCTGGTCCGTTTCGGGAAGAAGTCGTCAAGAATGCTACGGATTGTTGACAGAGGAGACGAATCATGAACGTTAGTTCGCCCTGGAATTTCATTTAACCAAGTGAACTCCTCTGCCGTACTTTCCCGCTTTTCTCTGGTCCAGTGAAGCGAACAAGAAGCGAATGACAGTACTTTAAAAGCGGTTGAATTAATCGGACAAAGATAGCTGGACGTGGCATCTTACTGCGTCTTTGTCGGAAGCTGATTTCATTGTATTCATGCTCAAGGTGGATGAAGAACAATACAAGCGTGGAGTTGAACTAAGACCCACGTGATCCTTCAAACTTTGTACTGCTAACCTCAGAACTTTGTGGCAGTGGTCCTTCTTCCACCATTGAGGAGTTAATTAATGTTCAATGCGGTGCCTCCAACGAGGTCATGCAAGGTCAGGCTCGTTAAATGGCGAAATGAACGGAGTGCAGCAATATGGCGGGTGGGTGGTTAAATGCGGTGAGTAGCAGATAGCACAATACTCAGTATGGATGCGTATACTATGTCATGTATGACCCTCGGCTGAGCTTGAGTCGGGAGCTGAACGCCTCCAACGCCCTTTTCGAGATATAATTACTCTCGGGATTCAGGATCTTGTCCACCTCAGCCGAGTTCTCCGCGTCATGTGTAGACTCGTTACCAGTCTGCCTACGAACCGCAACAGTGTAGCGGGCACGTTGCCGTAACGAGTCTACGTCATGTGTCCTTGTTTCCAAAGTTCTTTCAAATGTTGCCGAATTTTGAGACGAGTTTTATGTCACCAGCAGCAGCTGGAATGGACGGCAATTGCAAATATTTCGGAGCGGTTCCATTTGAAGGTTAATGAGCCTGAATGCCTAGTCAGGCCGAACTGGAACTGCAGGGGTACAAATACAGTTGCGGACAATCAAACACGACGACTTCCAATGCCAAGAGAACGGCTCGTGGGATTCTGTTTTTTTGTTGATAATAGCACATATGGAATATATTGTGAATTTTCCATGATGTCAAGTTGGGAAAAAAAGTACATTTTGGTGTCGACTACCCCTCTGAAATTCGCTGCCTTCTCAAATCTTATGTAATCAACCTCGGAGTACCCGGAAATTGAAGCTCTCGATGAGGGCTATCGTTTAGTGAATGAAAGAAGAAATTCTCTCGAGCCGTTCGTCCATAATTTGAGGTTTGATGACACTGATGGACAGCCTGGCCTGACCGGCAGACTTGCAGCACGGGTTGTTCGAAGGCAGAAGTCCCACAGACAGGTTTCAGCAACAACATTGAAGGATTTGGAGAAGGCTGGGATGCATAAATAGTGTTATTGCATGTCTACATAGTGTATAATTTATGTTGTCCCCATCCCACATGGCTGCAGAGGTACACACAATTTCATTCAAACCCATCCAAAATTTTGCCACCACTGATTTCTCGTGCGAAAATTCTGAAAAATTGGTTTTGGGGGTATTTCATCCCTCTGAATGTGATTGTGAACTCAGATTTGCCAAAATTTTCCTCAAAAAAACAGCATCACGGTTGTTGTGTTTGATTGTCCGCAACTGTAGATCCAGGATGCATGCCAGCCGCCAGTACTTTCACTCCTCAGCCCATCACAACTCACACCCGTATCCTATGCTTTCTTGCTCGAAGTTGATCGGGTTCATCACCACCGCTCTCGTCATGGGAGGCGCGGTGCATGCCCAGCTGTTTGTCAGTGTTTCTTAGCATGTCCCGTCATTCGATGGCTGACCATGTGTACCTTGTCTAGCCTATCCCTCTGAATTTCATTGCTTATGCAGACGACAACGGTGGCGGGGCGCAGACTACGTACAACGATGTCGTCACGGGTGTGTGCTATAAGACTAGTGCAACAGCCCGCAGCATCAAGACCGAACCGGTGTCGTTGTCCGCTGCCTTCTGGAGGTATGTGTACTGTACATTCCCTGTTCGAAGCAGTGCCGATGATATGCATGCAGAAGCGGCGATTGTACCCACGTCGTTGGCGACAATGACGGTGGTTACTCCGACCTCACATATGCCCAGGTCACCAATACCGCGCTGGATGCTCGTAGCATCCGACTCAGACGGGGCGGTGTCTTGGCCAGTTTTTCTCAGCATGACCCATCATTCGATGGCTGACGATGTGTACCTTGTCTAGCCTGTGCCCCTGAGCTTCATCGCTTATGCAGACGACAACGGCGGCGGGGCGCAGACTACATACAACAATGTCATCACGGAGGTGTGCTACCCGAGCAATACAACAGTCCGCAGCATCAAGCCCGAATCGGCGCCGTTGTTCGTTTGCTTCTACAGGTATGCGTACTGTACAATGCATTTTTGAAGCAGTGCCGATGATATTATGCAGAAGCGGCGATTGTACCCACGCCGCTGGCGACGGGCTTAATCAGCAATTCAGCGTCCCATATGACAAGGTCATCAATACCGAGAAGGATGTTCATAGCATCAAATACTCGAACGAGCTTGAGGCCTGTGAATTAATTTGAGATAGATTCCTCATTGTGTTTCCGCTGCGACATGATATTCTATGATATTCTTGTTCCATGTGTGAGGGGAAGGAATGAATTCGTGGCTTCCTCGAGACGGCGGCATACAGAGCTATAAATAAGCCGCTAAATTTTTGAGTCGACTCGAGGCCTCAACAACAAAGGTGAGTTTTGACGCTGACGCGGAGGTTCAATACTACCGTTCAATTTCAAGAGAATGGAGGGTCGTGACTGGGGAGTCGGTTGGCTGGTAGAATTTAAACTTATGCATTGAGAGAAGGACGAGGTACTGTTCGGTTTCCCAGCTTCATTGAAGATCAAGTAGCCGTCGCCCGCTGGGCTGAGAATTTGACGATCTCGATGAGGTTCGAATGCGAAAATGGGCTTGGTTCGTCAATTCGGTTTGAACGTTGCAGTGAGCACTTCCTCAAGACAACGGCTTACTGAGCTCCAAATAAGCCGATGAGTCGAGCGCAGGGTATGACAATATTTATCGCTGAAAAATAAGTGCTAATGAGACCGAACTCCATGTACCGTGCTCGTAGTAAGCAAATCGAGCTCTGTGGTCCGAGAACGTGCTTATTTGAGATCTCCGCGGTTCCTGATCTGTGCTTTTGAGGCACTGATGCACATTTGAGTCCCTCAATGTGGTTCATTTGCTTAAAAGTCAAGCTTTTCGGGTGTGCAGAGAGCACGAAGAAGGTTAACTTTACCGGCGGTTGAGCAGTTGCCGAGGACCGGATCACTCCACGCCGATGCTGCCTCTGACAATCTGACGACTACTCTGTTGTCCTCACCTGTATCCTGGCTGATAGATGGACATTTTCTTGATGGACTTCATAGACCAGTGTAAGACAACTTTGCCATGACTACTTTGCTTGAAATTTGTTTTCATCTTAAAACATACCAGGGCACGTTGCGCTGGTGCCGGAATGGCGCGACATCAGTCCAACGGTGTTAGCAGATTGGGGTTTCAAGAAATGTAGAACCAGTCCCAGGTGGACCGGGCAGCTGGCATCTCTCAGTGTTCAAAGTTGATTTTTTTTAAAAACTTTCGAGTTGAAACTGTGGGATTGTTGGTTGTCCTCGGCTAACCTCGGCAAACCACGACCTTGGTGCACGAAACACAATGAGCACGGTGTTCGAACGCGGTCCGCAAACCACGTAATATTCAGTGAAAAAAGCTTTTATAGACTCCCCGCGTCCGCCTTCGAGTGTTTGTCCTTTTTGGTAAATAGTGCCGAAGGCTTCGCAGGAAGGGTAACAATTGAGGGAGTCAGCGGATGTAGTGTACTGTACACCGCTGCATTGTTTCGGAAGGACAAGATGGTGCAAGCAGTGCAACGGGGGTCCGCCTCCGTGGTTTTCCCAAACGCTTTTCTTTGCTCAAGGGCAACCGCCAGGATTTATTAAGGTAGGGAAGGGAGGAAGTAAGCGGACGTGGTGCACGGCGCACTGCTGCCTTTAATATTGGGAGTTCACTGTGGTTGCAAGCAGTTGAGCGGGGTTCGACTCCCCGCGTCCGTATCATGCTTGGTCCAAGCTTTTTTCTCGAAGGCTTCTAACCGCCCGGATATATAGAGTGGGGAATAGAAGGCAGAAGCGGCCGTGGTGCACGGTGCATTACTGCATTCTGTAGAGAATTCATTACCAAATTACAAGCGGTTGAATGGGGTTCGACTCCCCGCGTCCGCCTAGTTAGTATATCTGCCGGAACTTTTTTCTGGAAAGCTTCCAACTGTATGGATATATGGAGAGGTAGAAGAGAGGGAATAAGCGGACGTGGTGCACGGGGCACTTCTGCCTTCTGTAAAGTACGGAAAAAGATTGCAAGCAGTTAGACGGGGTTCGACTCCCCACGTCCGCATAACAGTTGAGGGAATGTTTTTTTATTGCGAGGAGCACTGAACAGCCTGGAGTTAAAGAGGCTACGAATGGATGGAGGAAGCGGACGTGGTGCACGGTGCATCACTGCACTAAAATTAGCGAGCATTGAACGATCTCAGGCAGTGAGACGGGGTTCGACTCCGTGCGTCCGCCTTCATCCTCTTCGCTTGAATGTTCTTTTTCTTTGCTCGGAGGCTGCCAGAAGACTGACTCTATCGAGGAGAGTAATAGACGAAGGAAGCGGACGTGGTGCACGGTGTACCGCTTTCTACACAAATTACTCTAGATCTGGGTATGAACATTTTTCAATTGTAAGGTACCTGTACAGTCGCGGCTCGCCTGCCTCCTAGCCTGTACTCTGGCCAAGATGCAGATCACTGGACTCTAGCTTACATGCGGATGCCTTGGACGGATCCCCCAGCGTGGTATTTTGCTGACATCGTCGGCGAAGATGATCTTGGTTTGACCTTGGTTTCATATTCTTGGGCAAGTAGAGCATGTTCCAGTTTCTGAGTATTTGAGGGCTTCTAACTACCTGAATATATGGAGAGGTAACATGGTGGGAGTAAGCGGACGTGGTGCATGGTGCACCGCTGCTCTGTTGCTGGCATGAGATATACTTGAGAGCAGTTGGATGGGGTTCGACTCCCCGCGTCCGCCTAGTTGGTATATCAGGTGAACTTTTTTCTGGAGAGCTTCCAACCGCTTGGATATGGAGAGGTGGGGAAGGGAGGAAGGAAGCGGACGTGGTGCACAGTGCACCACTGCCTTCCCTTCAAGTGTTGATCTAGATTGAAAGCAGACTGATGGGGTTCGACTCCTCGCGTCCGCATACGGCGGTCCAGGCTTTTCTTTTTTTTTTACTCGAAGGCTTCTAATTGCCGGGATATATTGAGAGGTGGGATGGTGTGAGTAAGCGGACGTGGTGTACGGTGCACGACTGTATTCTATATTGCTCAAAAATGGTATTCAGGCAGTGAGACAGGGCTCGACTCCCCGCGTCCGCATTCCAGCGTAAGCTTCTCTTTTTTCTTTTTTCTGTATTCAGATGGTTGCTGCAAAGCCACATCTAGTGAGGTAGAACGGAGGGAATAAGCGGACGTGGTGTACGGCGCACGACTGCATTATATGTCCTTGTTGAATAATCCAGGCAGTTAGACGGGGTTCGACTCCCCGCGTCCGCATTCTGTGAATCTGACATTTTTTTCCGTGAAGAGTGCTCAAACACTGGGTATCTTGAACGCAAAAAAAAAAAAAGACCGAAGCGGAGTGGTGCACGGCGCACTGCTGCCTTTACTTGGAGTCGACAATTGCCAGCGAGTTGGGTGCCATCAAAAGTAACTTATGTAAATTAACTTGCCCTGCTAAAATTAACTTTACGGTACTTATGGCGGGGCAAGTTAATTTCACACGTTAAGTTAAGCGAAAGTTACTTATAAGTTACTTTCATCCCCTTTATCTGAGTTAACTTGCAGTGAACTTGGAGGATGCAGGTTCATTTCCTTGGAGTTGTTCGACCATTTAATGGTTCATATATCATCTATGGGTGTCTGCAGCACCTGCTGAGTAGAAAGGCAGGTGGTCACAACAGTGTAAACGGGTGTTCTTGAAATGGACCAACTACTTCGTGACTTTCCCAGACCCTGCAGAAGGCATTGTTCTCTATGGCGGGATTGTCCTACACTACATTATTTGAATTGATTTCCGGTTGATCAGCCTGTTTTGGTATAATATCAAATGGAGAATGTTGTCTGTTAAATACTCAGAGCTTGGTTCAGAGCTAGACAACAAGGTCCCAATATGGGCTCCTGGGATGGACATTGAAAATATCTAGGTGGTTTATGCATCCCTCCGAGCAGGATGTATGCTCAAAGAACACTGGCAGCATGTGAGCTTGGAGTCATAACCCGATTCCTGTTTGCGACAGTGTTTGTACCTTGTAGGCTCGTGACCAGCCTGCCTACAAATGGCAAAAATATGTGGCGAGCACTTTGCCGTAGGCTGGCTGGTACAACTCGGGACCCGCCAAAGGGCTGGGCCCGGAGTTCGAAATTTTGAGTGGTGCCGATGATCGGCATCACACTGCGATCAATTCCCTACTAAATTTGAGGCTCCAGAACTCACCTGCAGCGAGCTTAATCAAAATTCTGAAGAGACAGATTTTGAGAAGAGTGGAATTGGAGTTGTCCTTCCCTTTGGAGTTTTTCCAACAGATGTAAAATAAGCTCAGAATAAAGGAAAAGGAAAGTGATCGAACTCCGCGCCCAGCCCTTTTGTTTGTCCCGAATTGTACGAGTCTGCCTACGGCAACGTGCTCGCCACATTGTTGCAACTCGTAGGCAGGCTGGTAACGAGCCTATGTACCTTGGAGAGTCCGGAAAAGGGTCCCAGGTCATCTGAATGCAGGTAGTCTCCTTTGAATGAAAAATTAAGTGCATAATCAACCCCCGGGAGGTCTACCTGCCGCGTTTGATACCATCTGATGGGATAAGTTACTTGTTTTGATCTAACTTGGCGGGCCAAGTGAACTTAAGTAGCTTACCGCTAAGTTAAGTAAAGTGAAGGGAGGTTGTGAACTTACCATAGCTTGCAGTTACTTAACACCTTTTCTCCAGCAGTTTGATTGCAAGCATGCCTCGAACTTGAACTTCATTTCACTGTGATGTCCAGGGATGTTCGATCCGATTCCATAGGCCCCAAACCTTTCGTAGATCAACACAGAATTAGAATATGAGAGGAAGAACGAGCACACCAATATGCAGTGCAGCAAGATGCATATAGTTTGGGGAGAAGCCCGAGCGTTGGAGTCCGGATGGCTGCTGAAGCCTGCAGTGCACTCGAATTGCCCGGGATAATCCCGCCCAGAGTCTTCTGCACATCCTTGAAATAATGGGACACTATGAGTCTGGTGTGAGTTATCTTGCTCTATAAAATGACCAGGACTCAAATGCTTCACCGGTCGAGGCCCACCACGGTCATAAAACGGGATCAAGTGCGATGAGCTCACGTGAAGGCTAGCGAACATAATTTGATGAGCTCAGCGGTGAGCGGCAGATATTGGTGCTCAAGACGACACTTTTGGTACATATACATGCTCACAAAGCTCTCCAAATAATTTGAGATCCCTCTGGCGACTCCTGGCCATTATAAAGCCGAGCAATCACGGTGAAGTCGATTTTTCTGAGAGTCAGGCACGTAAATATATTCGGATATGCCTTACAACCTAGCACATATTTGGAATAGTTAGATATCTTAGTAATTATCTCTGCCACACTGAAATGTGATGGTCTAGGAGGCGAACAGGATTCCTAGTGTAGCCGCCATAGCCGTGCGGGTGGAGTTTGAAATAAGTTAGATTCGCCACGCGTGGGAAAACTTAAGTTAACGTACGGCACGCGTGCCGAAAGGGGCACGTAAAGTTAAAGTTAGTTCACATAAGTTACTTTTCACGCACTCACTCGCGGTGGGCTCCAGATGTGACGATGTATATAAAATTACCCCGTAATATCAATGAGACGGTGTGAGCCATCACATTGTGATAGCTCCCGACGTGACCTCAAAACACCGAACTCCGAGAACAACACCTTAAGCCTTCGACTAAAAATGATATCCGGACCCAACTAGGAACTCCGAACCTTCCGTTAACCGATATACGAATGCTATAGGTGCACGGAATGCGTTACTATTACGCCAACAGGCCATTCGAGGATCAAACTCAAGACTACAAAAGACCGACTCCGAGTAAAAAGTTATGGCTTGACGGAGAATTGAACTCCGAACCCTCCATCAGCCGATATGAAAACGTTAGGTACACGGAGCGCACATTACGCCACCAAGCCATGACCGGACTACCCAAAAAGATGTCAATTACCACTGCGCCACCAAGCCATGACCGGACTACCAAAAATGACAATTACCACTACGCTACCAAGCCACAAAGGACCATGACAAAAATCATATCCAGACCCAAGCATGGCTTGACGGAGAATTGAACTCCGGACTCTCCGTCAATCGATATAAAAATGTGCATATTTACGGAGTGCGTTACCATTACACCATCAAGCCGTAAGAGTCGAACGACCAGCCAAGACGATCACCGTAAAAAGAAGGGTTTCCGTCGGAATGGCTCGACGGAGAATCGAACTCCGGACTTTCCGTCAATCGATATAAAAATCCATTAGATCAGAGTGCGATACCAGTACGCCACCGAGCCATAGGAATCGAAAGACCAGCCAAAACTATCGCCATGAAAAGAAGGGTTTTCTTCATAATGGCTCAGCGGAGAATCGAACTCCGAACTTTCCGTGAAGCATACCGCGAACTACATAGGAATGCGGAGTGCGTTACCATTACGCCACTGAACCGTTCAAAACCGTACCCTATCTTCTGGACAAAAAGAACGGGCCCGTCGGAGAATCGAACTCCGGTCCCTCCATTATTTCAGTTTCCCGCCAGCTACGCGAACAGAGTGCGTTACCACTACGCCACCGGACCATGTGTGCAAGCAATACGAAGGTCCGGTAAGAGGCGCACGAAAAAGGAATGGAAAGGAGGGATGGCTCGACAGAGGATTGAACTCCGGACTTCCTGCAAAAGAGGTGCTTGTGCAAGAACCATGGCAGGATGCGTTACAGTTACGC